TGCCTAGTATGGAGTTAATCAGGATCATCTGTCTACCACTTTGAACTCCTTCATTTAAGGGCCTTGTGTCAGGAAATGAGTATGGAGCATGATGACAGTGTTTTGTGAGCCTGTAGAGTCCAGCTGTATGTTTTCAGATGTACGTTTGACTGCTTTCTACAGATTCAGATCATTTTGGAGGCCCACGGTTCTAAGAGTTCATGCATCTGACGAATACTTTTCATGCAGGTTCACCTTTGCTACTGGCTGTTTCTCACAACCTAGGACTGAGTATCAGATACCTTGTGACTTTCAGTGACCCTGGTGTGTACAGAAACACTGGTGTGATGGCAGCTATGGCATGGGATCTACAAGACACAGAATATTAGAAAAGTTAGCTGAAGGGGTCCACTGGAGGTCATCTAGACAAACTTCTCACTCAGAGTGGGATTATCCCCAGTGCTCTCTCAGCTATGCCTTTGTCTACCTGGCCTCTGAACACTTCTAAAGGTAGAGATCCCACAGCTTCTCCCAGAGTATGGAACAGACAACCTGTTCCAGTACTGTAGTACCCTCCTTGTGAACAGCTTTTCTTTTTCAGGTGCAAACAGAACCTCCCAAGCCTCAATCTGCTGCCCCTTGTATGTAACACCACATTTGTATTTGTTGTATGCAGCACTTGTAATAGTGGAGGCAATGGCTAAGGTACAGGGAGAAAATACAAACCAACTTTGATCATTCAGTATTAAGGAAGCTTATACCAATTTTAATGGCAAAATAACACAGATATATTTTAATTTATGGTGGGGTTTGGGAGGTTTTTTTTGAGGGACCATGGGCTTCTTGGTCTCTACAATATTTATCAAGCAAACAGTTAGAAAAATAACTTAGGTTACAACTTCCAGTGCTTGTTAGCCTTCATCCAGTATCCATTTTACATTGATACAGATTTCTTGAAGGTGCAAAAATTGCATTTATTTCATATCAAATTGAGTTCTTCATCACTAAGGTTCTTCTGGTGGTCAGGTTTGGTTTTTTCTCAGTGTCTATTTGATACATTTTTGTGTATAGAAATACACAATTATCCATCTGAAAAGATCAAAATGTTCCTCACAGGCATTAGGAATATAAGGGTTATTTTTATGTGTGTCTTATCTGTATACAATTGTATACTTCCAAGGTTTTTTATCTCATTACAGAGGAAACAAAGAGAAGTTGGATGCAGCACATTTATGAAAAGCAGCACAAATATCATGTAATGTTATGCACATAATTCATAGAAAAGCCACGAGACATATATATCTTCAATTTTTTGCCTGTTTTCTAGTTACCACATACACAGCAGATTTAGTTGCTGTTGGCCATGAACTAGTAGAATAATGGTCAACCAGAAGACATTATATCTGCTGTCATCCATAGTGTTTTGGTCCTTTGCTAAGCACTATTGCTAAAAGTGAAATGAAAAAAAAATACCAGCAACCCTTAGTGTACTGATGTCTTTTAAAATGATGTTTGTGTCTCTTCAGTTGTCTCAAAGCCCAGGTTGCTTCTTCCCTCTTCACCATAAGGGTTCACATCTTCATTTGTTTCTGCTGCACCTCTGCTTTCTCTTGCTCTCCTGTATGAAAATTCATTTTATATTAGAAGTCCATGTTCTGTTCAAGTCCTTCCAGATCCCCAGAATTCCCTACTGTAAATAATACTGTGTTTAACTGGAAATATTTATATAAAAGGAATTGTGTTGCTTTTAAAGTGAACTGTAGCAAACTTACTCTGTGCTTAGAAACCCCATTAATGGAGAGAAAACCAACCCAGCCATATTGTTAGTGCAATAATATTTAAGGAAAACTACATTACTGGAAAGCTTCCAATAAATTCATAGAAACTGCAGGTACTGATGAATATGGGCAACTCTGCTGTTGGAGAAGGCACCATGTTCCCAGCAGGCCACTCCACCCACCTTGCAGCAGGGTTGGCAGAAGTCTGGTCACACCACACCTCCCTGTGGCCACACCACACCTCCCTGTGGCCACAGCATCCAGCTGCCTTGGTTACACTGCTGCTGATGGGGAAATTGCACTAGGCTGCCAAAGCTGCCATGCACTGAAAGGCACAGAGCTGAACCTTTACCTAGCACTGCTGATGGGAGTGGAATAATAAGCTTTCATTCCTTAACTTGCTTCCGTTAGATTGAGCAGCCTAATTTGTAACCATCCTAATGATTCAATTATTGGGACATCTCCCAATAGTCATGATCATAGTATCAAAAATATCACTCACCTTTTGCGATCTCTCTGCCCCGTGATGATCAAGGCAATAGCTCCAATGACAATCAGACTCATGACCACCCCAAATACAATTAACCAGACGGTGACTGGTGGTTCATAAGGTGGGGCCAGGGTTGGAAGTATGCCCACAAACTCCAGTGTGTTATCATCCAGTCTGAAAGCCTCATTGATTCGTCCCCGAGATCTCCTGCCATCAAATGCAAATTCAAAGAGTTTCACACATTTATTGAAAGAAAAGAAACAGTTTTTAGATGTTTTATAAATCTCCAGTGTGCCAAGCTTTACTTGTACTGCCCAGTTCTGGCATGGGGTGGTGAGTGACAACCACAGTAACTTAAAGCCTTAACCTGTTGCAGCTTAACTGACATGATCAGACACTGTATGGACTCTTAAAGTCTGTCAACATTTATCAAAATGAGGCAAACAGCCTTCTGATGTCCTTCGTTTGCATTTCACCCTTCATTATCTTTACCCTACATTTCTTGGCTATCCAAAAGTTTCTTGGATATGTGACATAAAAGTACAGCTTTGACATCTTCTTACCCATTGCTGTCCTACAGACTTCCACAATTTAGGTTCTTGTGCTTTTCACTGCCCTGAAAACCCTTTCCCTGGTGTATCTATCTTCTGTGCCTTTTTCCCTGAACTTCCACATCTGCTGTTGAGTGCTAACCAGGCAGAGACTTTCACAATCATATTCTTCTCCCTTGGTTTACCAACTTATGTCACTGTTTTCTCAACCCCATCTCACATTGCTGCTGCTTTTAGATTTGTGACCTCTTCATTTCCTACTGTACATTATCTATGTTCATCTGTAGAGCTGTAGTTTTACTTATCCTTTTTACAGCAATGGCTGACAGTTGTGTCACACCATGCTATAAAAGAGCTGTTCAGTGACCTGCAAGTGGGAACTAACTCCTGCTCTGACCTCTTCTGTATCATCAAATACATGTGGCTGTCTTTCTAGTCCACTGTTATTCTGTGATCCTTGCTAACAATAATTCTTGCACTGAATTTTCAGTAATGAGAGGAAGAAAACACGTTTGTGCACACACTGTTACTGTGTTCTGTATTTAGGAATATACAATAGTTCCTGTTAAAGTCTGAGCAATGATACTTCCTGGCAAGGTATGATGCAATGAGGTGTGTTATGGCAATTTTACAACCCCCTTGAAGCATTTTACATTGGCTGTTGTCCAAGACCCTATCAGATAGATGGACTCTTTTCTTTCTGTCATAACAATTCTCATCTCACTATTTATTTCCACGCTAAGTGCAGAACTTTCTAGTCATCCCTTCTGCCTCAGCTGACTTGAGCACTACTTTCCCTTCCACCCTTTCTTCTGGTTGTTTGGTTGGTTTGGTGGGGTTTTTTAGCAGAGAGCAAAATCTCACTTGATGGCATCTTCCAAGTCAGCTTTGGGCACAACATCAGTGATATCACCCGGCATGGTGACCACAATGTAGAAGGAGATCCTTTCTGTCTGATTGAAAACATGAATGTCTGTAAGCCTGAAGAAGAAACAGAAAAGAAAGGTTATTTTAATTACTGAGATGACATTAGTTTTAAATTCAGGCAAGTGAACAGTTGTATTTGATTGGCAGTACCAGGAGGTTAGTTTATGCTGAGGAAATGCTTCTAGTGAAATCATCTGGGAAGTGAAATCCATTTTCCTGACAGAATTTCTTTGTCTATGTGCTAATTTGTTACTTTAGTTGGAAGGTGTCTACCCCATACCTAAGGCAATCCTTGGTGTAATTTTCCACAGCACATAATCACCTGCAGAACAGAGAGTGTTTGGGGTTGGTCTCATGAATGAGGGGATGGATAAAGTGGCAAATGGAAAAAAACCACCTTCTTCCTTATATTCTGCTGGGATTAGCTTAGAGATGTTCCATGGCTGATGTTTTATAAAGTAACATCAAATAGCTTAAGTAGATAGTTTTTGAAAATTTTTGAAGAGACTTAATATAAAGGGTTGTTTTTCTTAACGAAATCAGTTTCAGGTGATAGATTTTATGCTTGTAAGTGAACCTATATAAGATTAGTAAGATTGCACCGAATTCTAATGCTCTATAATCAACCAGTTTATCTCTCCTTGGCCTGAAACCTCTTAAATATTCAGTATTATACACATACCTTGTTAGAAATTTTTATTTCTAATCAATATACCTTCCACGATAATCCCATATAGTCACTGGGCAGAAATTCTCAAGGCTCACCTCTAATGAACCATGGGAGACAAAAGCCTTCTTACCTAACTGTAGCACATTAGTACTAAACTTCATTCTCTTGAGCAAAATTGCACCATGTAGCTGGGTTAGCAACTTGCCTTTTGCAACCAGCTGATGTTTGACATTGTTTGCTACCACCTTACATTTGACAGAAGGCACAATCAATTTCATCAATTCATGCCACTAGTGAAACAGAGACAATAGCAAAGCACTCACTGGAAGTTAACTTCCTGTTTCTTCATCTCTGCAAAGTATTTTCTCATGGCATAGGCGATGGATGACTTAAACAAGAAGAGCTCATTGTCATCCCAGTCATACTGCAAAAACAGCACAAGAGAACTTCATCAGAGATGGCAGGTTATCTGACACTAAGAAATCATTCAAAAAAGAAATAGCAATTGTAATGCTTGGCATGCACTTCGGTATTATTTGTGCCATGATAGCACATCAGAAACCTACCCAAACCCTCTAACTCTGTTAATCTAGGTGCTCTGCAGGAGAATAACCAAACAGGCATCCCTGCTGCCAGACATCATGCTATCCCTTTGCAGTACCTTTACATGGCACTACTGAAGATGCTGCAGTCCTAGCACATCTCCCTGCCTTATAGGGATAAAAGGCATCAAGGAGCAACAGTATTCCTACTAAATATTGTGCATTCTCTTTGAAGTCTAAAGATTTCATATTGTAGATCTATTTTTAATCACATAATTATATTTGCAGACCCTTTCTTTTAAGGAGGAGAACCTTTGGGGTGGGGTTGTTGTGTGGAGGTGACTCATTTAGTTGCTCGATGAGCTGGGATTTTTCTTTGGGGTTTGTTTTGGTAAAAAACCTCTTTGCATCAGTATTTCTGCAGCAAGCATGTATTTGTTATTTTTCCCTGGAGAATAGATAGGTGATATAAAAACTGTACTGCCTGTGTGCAGGCTCCTGCTGGCCTGCCTTATGAGTCCAAAGTTATCTGCAGTGGAAGTCAAAAACAGCTTCTCCGGGGCAGGAACCAAGAGCTATACAGGGGGCAAAAACCACTGCAGGAGCTGATAGTGCAGCCTGGTTTGTTGTGCAACAGCATGTGTGCACAAAGTGAAAACTCCCAGCTGAACTCTGCAGCAATGTTTTTTAATCCCCCTAAGGCCTAGAT